GTAGTTTACTATTTAGTCCCTGTTTGAGGCCGAGTTTAGTGATTCTTGGGGCTGAGTTTGTGTTGTTTCTGATGCTATTTGAGTTTCATGAATTATAATTTGATGGCAGACCTGTTTTGCTACAAACGGTCTTGTGAAATACAGAAAGTTTGAAATTACAAACCGGTCTTTATAAACACAACTTAATTCAATAATTTTGAATCCGAATTACACATTTTGAAAAGCGTCAATTTCAAGTCTGAAATCAGTACTGCTGATTGTGATACTCTGTATTTCTTAGATAAGCTAGTGATCTGCCTGAACACATGTTAATAAATTTTAATTTATGTCCAATATCCGTGCCCTTTTTTTTTTGCTTCCAGAGACGAAGAACTGCCATTGATGAACTCAACATGCGGAGCATATTTGAAGAAAACGATGTTATCTGTGTAAGTAAGCTTCTTGAACAGCCTTATCTTGATCCTTTTTTATATGTATACCAGTTATTCACTTCCTCTCGTCTTTTTCTTTTTACCATTTCTTTTAAGTTCTTAATTTGATTATATATACATGATTTCAGGCTGAAGTCCGTGGTTTCCAGCACGACGGCTGTCTACACCTTCAAGCGAGAAGCCAAAAGTACGGAAAGGTAAAACCCTTTTCATTCTATTTTCCCCCCATTTAAGTCCGATCAACTTTGCTTTAGTTATGTTAGTTCAAATTCAGCTTACTGATTTCTTTTACTTCTGAAAATAAATGCCCACAAAACAAAAAATCTATCTTGACATAATTTTGGTTAATAGTTCCTACTTATCCTTGTATAATTTCTGAGTCTCTCTCTCTCTCTCACTCAACTTTGCTTTAGCTATGTTAGTTCAATTTCAGCTTAGTGATCTCTTTTACTTCTGAAAATAAATACCCACGAAAAAAAAATCTATCTTGACATAATTTTTCTTAATTGTTCCTACTATCCTTGTACTCTGACTCTGTCTCTCTCTCACTCATTTTATTAATATATACACATTAATTTTTGTTCGACAGCTCAAAAGAGGCCAACTACTCACAATCCCACCATACCTCGTGAAGAAACGCAAACAACATTTCCACTATCTCGACCAATTTGGGATCGACTTGATACTCGGCTGCAACGGATTCATTTGGGTCGGTCAACATGTCGAGGCCCGTGATGACATGGCAGAGGACTCGCCCGAAAATTCCGAGCAACAAATTCAGAAATCGATCAACGAACTACAAGATGAAGAGACTTACACGCCACTCGAAACCCGGCAAAACATATGCCGAGCGGCTAATGCCGTTCGGGTCCTTTCCATGCTAGGGTTCATGGTCACAGTTGAAGTTATTACAGAGATTGTGAATCTGAGTATCTCTTTGAATCTGGACGTGCATGAAATGCTCGGGCCCGAGTTTTACGTGACTGTTGCTGAGAAAGAGGCGAACCGTCGAGGTTCGTCGGGGAAAAGGAGATGATTGATTATGTGTTG